GAGATGGATTTATCAGATAGTTTTAGTTTAAGTGCTGTAATATACAAATTAATATGGAAGAATAGGATGTAGATAGTAATTCCTAAGTAAGATATTTCAGGAGGGAACTCTGAAGTTAATTGGAAGGATTAAGAGTTGACCAGATAAGGATTTGGGTGGGCTTAGTGGAATAAGACGGGGTAAGAGTTATTAGAGGGAGAGGGTGGTGAAGATGATAGCATTCTTTTTTTTTTTTTTTTAAGATTTTTATTTATTTATTTGTCAGAGAGAGAGAGCGAGCAGAGGCAGACAGAGTGGCAGGCAGAGGCAGAGGGAGAAGCAGGCTCCCCACAGAACAAGGAGCCCGATGTGGGACTCGATCCCAGGACGCTGGGATCATGACCTGAGCCGAAGGCAGCTGCTTAACCAACTGAGCCACCCAGGCGTCCCAAGATGATAGCATTCTAAGCAGAGAGAACAGCAGTATGAACAAAGTAATGGAAACGTGTAATAGCATAGAGTATGTAGGAAATCTAGAAACAATCTTGCATTATTATTATTATTTATTAAAGCATTCTTTGAAGGCTAGTTAATATATACCAGGCTTAATGTGCATGATCACACTTAAACCTGAGAGCATTCTTTTGAGATTTATAATCTCATATTCTTATCTGCCTGCTTCCATGATTCTACTCTGATGGCTTGATCTTAGCAGTATATCATCAAAAATTGAATGGAGGCTCATTACAGCGTAGACATAGGGGGAGGAGAGTCAACTCTACCTAGAGACACTACCACACTGTTAGGCCTGGCTGTGAGGTGTACAGATACAGACACTCAATCTTGTTAGCATTTCAGAGTTGATTCTCCTTGGGGGGGGGGTGTGCAGATTCATGCTAACCCCATTTGTAGGAGACTATAATTTAACCAGAATATTTTGAGGCTCTAGAAACCTAGCTTAGCGTACGTGAGCAGTGCTTGGTGATCTTGATGGAAACAAACACTATGAGTCAGCAGAATGATGCACTGGCCAGTAAGGTCATAAAATCAGAGGCTGAACTAAAAGAGGTGAAGTATTTCAAGATGATGGAAGTGCATTTCCTTCCTTGCATTTATCAAACCTCAGAGTATTTGAGGAAAATAAATATGGACACTGTGCCATGTCAAATGAAACTAAGATAGGCATACTTTAGCCTGAAGGAGAGAATGATGCCTTCAGGTAACATTTATATGGTTCTTGAGCTTGTTAATCTCTGTCCAGTCTGACTACCATCTCCCTTAGTTCATTCAGGCTTTTATCACTAGTCACTGGAATTACTTCAGTAGCCCAAATTACTGAACATGGAGAATCTGTTCTGGCTAGTTATATATAACTATTATTTAGAGATACTAGGTAGCTCTTGAATTAGGAGCGTTGCAGAAACAGGCTTCAGATAATACTATGGGAGTAACTTTCAGAACCACACAACTAAAATTTAGTCCAATGTAGGAGCTGTTGCCATCCCAGAACTACTTGGTCAAACCGTCATGGTGAAAAACATGCAGCTGCTGCCAACTATTCCATAACCATATCTCCTATGTATTGCCACCCATCTCAGCAGAATGGATGGCTTACTTGAGGCTTGCTTCTTTATATAGTTTGTTTCTGAATCTATACATCCTATAAATATATTTCATTGGTGGAAACTAAATCACATGTCTGTACTCTAGTTATAAGGGAGTCTGACAGATACAGTTTTTATGGATTCTTCCTTGGTTAGGTGGGACTGGTACTGTGAAGATGTATTAAAATGTAGAGAGCATGTTTAAATGCTGTTGAGCAACCAAATATGACCGAAGACACAGTGGTTACCTTGCTAGTCTCCTTGACTTCACTAAGATTTTTCTCAGCCTGTAAGACCCAGATCCTGGTAAAGACATCTTTGATCTTTCTATCTCTCCTCTGTGTTCCCACAGCATCATATACATGCCTCTGTTACAGTGGTTTGCATGTATCTTTTCCCTACTAGACCATGAATTATTTTTATTTATTTAACAAAGATAGCATTTACTAAGTATCAGGCATTGTCTAAATGCTTCATAAAGAATTCATTTGACTTGTGGGTACAAGCTTTCTTTCAATTTGCATTCCCCTAGCCAGCCTGGCATAGTCCTTGGTGCATGGCACATGTCCAGTAAATAAGTGAGTCAATATTTAGAAAGTAGGGAAGAAAAAATAATGACACAGTCCTGCTACTTTAACTTCGCTGTTCTGTTCTGTTGTATATTTAGTCTTCCAAAGAAAAACTTGGGAAAAATTAAACTTCCCTAATATGGGATGGACTGCCTGAGAGGTAGTAGGTTTTCTGTTAGTTGAAATCAACTCTGAGCATAGATGAGCATCTGTGAACTACATTAAAAGTGCTATCTAGCCTTGTTTCTCTGATCTGATTTGACTCAACAGTGCTGGATCTAGTCTGAGAGAGGGAAAAAGGTCTTCTGTCTTCAAGTCAGAAGGCTGATATTCAAATGAGAAATAAGGAAATAAGATAGGAAAGATAGGGGTGACCCAGTGACCCAGGTGGTTAGTAAGGAGAATCCTTTGTATATATAAGCGGAATTTACAGTTGTTGACTGAACAGATCATAGGAGTCACTACAATGCATGCAAATATAGATCAAAGGATTCTTGCTGTCAGTGAAGTTGGTATTCTGTAGATAGATGCAGCTTGATTTCTTTTCATGGATCCTTTTTCCCCCTTGTGTTCTTACATATGAGTTAATTTTTTTTTGTTCATAACTTTCCTTGATTAAAAAGATAGTAATGGCTAGAATTATGAAGAGAATAAAATGATAAAAAATACTGATTTTTAAAAAATTGAAATACAACTCACATACCATAAAATTCACTATTAAAATATACACTTCAGTGTGTTTTTTAGTATATTCAGAGTGATAAAGCTATCACAACAATCAACTTCAAAAAAACCCACCCATACTTATCAGCAGGCACACTGCAATCCTCCCATTCCCCCTCCCTTGCCCCTGGCAGCCACTAATCTATTTTCTGTCTCTATAGATTTCCAATTCTGGGCAATTAGTATAAATAGAATCATATAATATGTTGTCTTTTGTGACTGGTTTCTTTTTTTCTTTTTTCCATTTGTATATCTTCTTTAGAGAAATATCTGTTCAAATCATTTGTCCATTAGTATTTGGGTATTTTTTAAAATTATTGATTTGTGAGAGTTCTTTAGCATGATGTGATTTCAAGTTTCATTCATGCGATGGTATTTATCAGTACTTCATTCTTTATGACTGAATATTCTATTGTCTGGACATACCACATTTGTTTATCCATTCATCACTTCATGGGCATTTAGGACTATTTCCACTCTTTGATGCTACTGCTGTCAGCATTCATGTACAAATTTTTGTGTGGACTTATGTCTTCATTATTTTTTTTTAAGATTTTATTTATTTGACAGAGATCACAAGTAGGAAGAGAGGCAGGCAGAGAGGAGGAAGCAGGCTCCCCGCTGAGCAGAGAGCCAGATGCGGGACTCGATCCCAGGACCCTGAGATCATGACCTGAGCCGAAGGCAGAAGTCTTAACCCACTGAGCCACCCAGGCACCTCTGTCTTCATTATTTTTTACTATAAGCTGGGTCATGTGGCTACTTTATATGTAACTTTTTGAGGAACTGCTAGACTGTTTTCTGGAGTGGCTGTATCATTTCACATTCTCGTCAGCAATGTGTGAGAGCTCCAGTTTCTCCATATCCTCACCAATGTTTGTTACCATTTTTTTGTATACTAGCCATCCTAATGGGAGTGAGATGTGGTATCTCATTGTGGTTTTGATTTGCATTTCTCTAATGAATAATGATGTCGAACATCATGTGCTTACCAGCCATTTGTATATCTTCTTTAGAGAAATATCTGTTCAAATCATTTGTCCATTAGTATTTGGGTATTTTTTTAAATTATTGATTTGTGAGAGTTCTTTATATATGCTGGATATAAGTCCTTTATCAGAGGTGATTTGGAAACATTTTCACCCATTCTGTAAGTTGTCTTTTCATTTGATGTAGCTTTTTTTTTTAAGATTTATTTGAGAATGAGCATGAGTCAGGGGAGGGACAGAGGGAAAGAGAATCTCAAGTAGACTCCCTGCTGAGTACAGAGCCTGATGTGGGGCTTGATCTCATGACTCTGAGATCATGACCTGAGCTGAAATTGAGGAGTTGGATGCTCAGTGACTGAGCTACCCAGTGCTCCTAATGTTGCTTTTTGAGTCATCATCATTTCCAGCTTGGTTTTGTGACCCCTCATGAGTGTCTTAATGTGTTGTAAGGGTTAATATTAGGTTAAAAATGAAGAAAAATAATTGGTCTAGTGAAAATTTACATATATGTATATTACATAATAAAAGAAGATTCACAGCCAAATTAAAACTTACTGAACCTCAAAACTGTATTCTTGTAACTGAATATTTTTTCCTCCAGTGAGTAGTTTTTGTCATCCCAACACAGCTGCTTATATTTTTGATTTTTTTTTTTGCTTCCCAAATCCAACAACTTCTCAATAATTTTTCTTCAATGATATATTATAGGTATGTATTTCCTGTTAGTTTACAAAATCAGATTTGTTCTTCTAGATAATAGTGATCCCGAGGGAGAATATGCCAAACATTAAAGTATTCATTTTTGCTGTCACGGTAAATTAATATCTGTGCTAATATTATCTAGTGTATGCTACAGAACTGCCAATTTATTCTGTGGAATAGCTTAAAAATATTTTTTCTTTCTGCTCATTAGTTGATCAGGTAGAGATATGAACCATGAATGAATACATGGTAAAATTAATACAATGTTATGGTACCCAGAGTGAAAAATAATAGTGAAGGATCGACCAAAATGATCATTGTTGTTAGTTACAGCATGACTTAATATTTTAAAAGAGAATATTAATATTTATTAATCACTTTTGAAACTGAAGCAGAAATTTGTAAATGCTCACAATAGATTTTCTTTCTAACAGGAAGACATGAACCTTAATGAAGACCGTAAAGCTCCTTTACGAAACAAAGATTTTACCACCAAGCGTGAGATGGTTGTCCAGTACATATCTGCTACTGCCAAATCTGTAAGTAGTGACACTTTCCCGGCACTACCGTAATGAGTTCAGCATTACCTGCTCAAAAATAAACAAACCTCAGATCTTCAAGTTCTTGCCTCACTGTACTCATAGCCTATTCAGAAAAAACTTACACATGTGTTTTTTACACATTTAGTATGTATTTAAAAACTACTTATAATTATAGAGACTTCCATTATTTTAAGTAATACAGACGAAGGATAGAAGGCTCTGAGTTAATCCATTGAGTTTTGGGGCAGTGGTTTTGTGTGTATCTTAAAAATTCACAGCAATTTGTAGGTATTCCACTAAATATACTGTTTGTTATATGAAAATTTTGAATTTTGAGGGAGAAGACAAGAACATATGCTAGTCACAAGTTTAGTTTCCATTAAAGTTTTATGTCTGGTTTCTCCTTACATGAAATTTTTAGCAATATTTTTAATACGCTGTTTTAGTTATTTTTCATTGTTTTATGTGATGCTAACTGTATAAACTACCTTATAATTGTTATTATACAGCTTAATAAAAAAGAGGTGCTTAATAGGAAGGAGTTTAATGAAATCTGTGTGTTTCAAAAGACTTGAAAGTAGAGTTCTGTGGAAAGACTTGTTTACAGCAGGACAAACTTCAGTGTTTTAATGGGATATATGGCTTTGCTTATTACTTCCTAAGGTGCTTCCAAAAATAGACTTCAGGTTTGATTTCTTTTTGCAAGAAAAGAAATAATATTTTTGAAATGATGAAATGTATTTTTTAGATTTCTGTAAGGAGAAAGCTTTATATAACTAGACTTCATAAAATCAGTATGTATATATATTTGTGTGTAGAACATACACATACCATACACACACACACAAACGCATTGATTTTATGTGTATAGTATGTATATTATGTGCATGTATATAAATAATACACACACACATGAATTTACATGTAAAAAATTCATACTTTAAATTTAAAAAGTTGACCAGTAAAGAAAATAGTTCCTCTTTGGAAAATATGTTCTAAAATTATTTGGCTATCCTATTACTGCTACTTCAATACAGTAATTACTGCAATTACTGATGCATTTTGCCCCGAATTCTATAATTGTATTGATTTCATATTGTAGTTTAAACAAGCTAAATCTGAATGCTGAACTATTTAAACATAACACATTCCAGCTCTGCCAGAGCAGAGCAACAGCATGTTTTTTAATTTGCTTTTGGTATCCAAGGGCAGGAATATGTTTCAAGTGATAAGTGAAATTTGCCATGAGTGTTGTTTTCAATTAGAATTTGGTGATGCATAGGGTTTTACTTTGAAATTGTGATGAATCTCTTCTCATTTTTGCACTCAAGTTACTGTTAATAGTAAAATGCTTTAGGAAATGTAGGGCATACATTTAGTGTTATTTTTCAAATACCTAAAGGAAAATACACTAGTAAATCTATATAACTAAATCTGAATGCAAAGTATAGATAATATATGAGTAATCATATGGTGTTTTTTAATGATAAGATTTTATTAGTGTTTCTGGCTCATTTGTTTGTGTTTATGCAAGTGGGACTGAATATAACGAGGTTTATGCAAAGCTCTTATTCTTTAACCTTTTGATTTTAACTCTATGTAGAACTTGTTTATATTTATTCTCATATTGTTTTCAGCTGACCAGATATATACATTTATGTTATATACTCATTTTTCACATTAAAATGCTAAAATTTATGTAAATGTTGGATGAGTTCTCTTGAATTGCTTTATTTGAAAGATGAGAATTGAATGTTTCTCAAAAGACATGGAAATTCTGTTTCAGGTATTAGCCTCAAAATCAGTACTATAACTATTTAGTATATGACCCTTGTTTGTTTCATTCAGCACACGTATGAGCACCTGACATGTATGACACCTATAGCTCTTTCATTAGAGTTTTAAGATTATACATTTTATTTGATAATATTTTTTCATGGACCAAATGTTACAATGAAAGAAAGCCTGTTGATAAATATGTTTTAAAGCTTTCTTACCTTGGGGAGACATGAATTAGTACTGTGTTTTCTGTTGTTAAAACCAAGAAAATTCATTATGTACTTTCCTTTTGAAGGTGAGAGGGATGCCATTCACTGACAAGCAGTCCACTTATCTTTGACCTCTTCATGATCATTATAATAATATTTGTTTAATATATGGCTGCTTACCTATGTGTAACAAGGTTTCCATCCTGCTATCTTTCAGTAGGGTTTAGACATGCTTGGTATATCTTCCACTCTTTTGCTTAATTTTTCATTATATTTATCACTGATAAAAATGTTCCTTTGTTGGGGTGCCTGGGTGGCTCAGTCGGTTAAACCTCTGACTCTTTGTTGTGGTTGAGGTCATGATATCAGGGTGGTGAGACTGAATCTGGCATCCAGCTCCACACTCAGTGTGGAGTCCGCTTGAGAGTCTCTCTCCCTCACCACATCCCCTGACTCGCTCATGCATGTGCTGTCTTTGAAATAAATAAATCTTAAAAAAATGTTTCATGTATGGTGACTAACATAACATTAATTTAGAAAAAGTTTCTTCATTTAAAGTAGATATGATTGTATCACTTTATGAAAATTTATAATTTTTGTATAATTTGTAATTACTACTTTATAAGTAGTCAAAACTTTAATCTTGAAGTAAAAACAAAGTTAGGGGCTAGTGTTCTGATGGATAATGTTTTATAGTCACATATAAAACATGTGAGAAGTATAGTTTGTTTAAACATAAATTGTACATTTCTCCCTTTAACACCTGTATTAGTCATTTTGCATAGAATTGAAAACAAAATATGAACTCAAGAGAAAATGTCCATCATTCTCCTGGGTTCCTGGGTAAAGACAATAAAGCAAGATGAAACTGATATGTAGGTATTTGCTCAAAACCTGTTTCTAAAACAGATAAGTCTTTTGTTATATAATTGGCTAAAATAATCATGGAATAAAAATACATAGGAAATTAAAAGATAATGATGAAAAACTATTGCTTAGTTTTTTCTTGTTGAAGTTCCATAATAGAGAATATTAAATTGTGTGAACATTAAAGGAAAAAGTGGCTTGAATAACTCTGTCAGTGATGAATGAATTTTAAATAAGGGAGTGGAGAAGAGTCATTTGCTCATTACAGCAAGTGTGGTTATGGACCTGACCTATAGTAGTTGGTATATGTGAATAATTTGGCCACAAATAATCTGAAAGAATTTATATTTTCAAAACACCAGGATATATTTTGAATAGTGGAAAACCAAGATTTGTTAATATTGCAGACGTTGTCATACCCATTCATAATCCTGTAAGAGGCACAGTATATCAGTGATTTAGCAGATCTTGTATGTTCTAGCTTAACAGACTATAGAGACATTCATGAGGATAAATTAGTCACTGAAATCCTAACGGTTTGCCAAAAGCCAGTGTCTTTATTAGAATATTAAGAAACTAGTTTATTTCTAACTTAAATCACAATCTTTGAGGTTGAGATTTTAAAATATGTAAAGTTACGTTTTTAAGACAAATGACACATTGATAGGTATCGTTGATTAAAAAAAATCTCAATAGGAAATAATTTAAAATAGTGACAACAAATACATCTGTAAATTTTTTAGATTGTCCCCTATAATAAGCAGTTGGAAGTTACAGTATGTCTTTCTCTGTGTATACATGTATTACAGTTTTGCTTTTGCCATCAGCAGATACTTTCTTTCTCAGGTAAACAACTGAATTCAAACATGACCAGACCTGTTCCTTTTAGCTTCCCTTGGCCAATCTAATCTGTTCATTGTATGAGTTTTAGCTAAATGGAATCATTTTGCAATCATAATGAATTAATAATGGGCTATATTTTGGTTGTTTCATTGAGTATAGAACTGCCAAATTAAGACAGGCTTGCGTTCTTGTTTTAGTCTCATGTCTGTGCTAAATAAACAAGGAACAAATAAGACCTCTGTCTTTTTGGTTGAGAAATAATTTAGGTCGATAGCATATCTTTCAATTCGGAAGACTGTTAATGGCACCAAAGAGGCTTTTATTTAGCTAAATAATCACTGCCTACAAATAGTCTGTTGAATGAATATTTAAGAAAGCTGCTTCTCTGTTTGGAGATTCATGGATTCCTCTGAAATAATTTGCTTGGCAACTGTCAATATCTTTTTGTGTCTTGTGGTATCCTGTTTAATTTAGGATTCTTCCTGGCATTTCAATATTTTATTTTTCTTTTTAAAGTACTAGCTGGAAAAAAAAGTACTAGCTGGAAAATAGAACACATACTGATAATAATGGCTGTCAGTTATTATCTAACTAACTGCATTAATTCTTTTTTGGACATTGCTTGATATTTAACTGTAAGAATTTGATAACAACAATTTGATTTATAATTGGGGTTTGGCATTAAATTATCTTAGAACTGTGATTTCACTTCTTGCTTTCTTAAACACAATTCAGCTTCTCAGAAATTCTGTTATCTCTTAACTATTAGGAAAGCTCAATCAAAGTTTCAGGTTTTGAACTGTTTCCTCCCTATGAATATATGCATGTTTATACATATAACTGCTTCTTTGTCTTCATGTTATATTATATTATCTCATCTTATAATACAAATGCTAGGATAACCTAGAAAACTAGAATCACAAGCAATCTATCTTCTTTATAATTTTCAAGTATAATATAAAATAGTATTAAAAACCTTAAAATAATAATATAAAATATTCCAGTTTTCAACTTGCAATTTATAATGTGTATGGCTTTAAATGCACCATTTATATTCTAAGATGCCTTATTTCATCCTTAATATTGTATTTGTTATAACAAGGAAAGAAAAACATTGGAAAAAATTCAGTTTTCTACTGCTAATTTTTTTGAGTGGCTGTGAGGCTGATAAAATATCTGATGCCTGGTTACACTTAATTTTACATTACTTAAGATTTAGATCATAGTATATAAGCCCATGACAGTACATTTAAAAAAAATCCTCAAACAGTAATACTCTTTTATTTGGTAATTCTTATTCTGCAGACTTTACATGTTTTGAATATGGTAGAAATTAATACTGGTATATTTGTTTTAGCCTCTAGATCTAAAGTGTTGAAAGTATACATAGGTTTAGCTATTTACTAATTGACTAAACACTTAACTTCTGTGAAAACTTCAGAGTACTAATACTGTTGCTATTCTTTTTTTTTACACCATAACCACTCTCCGTTGACCACTGCATGCAGATAGTTGGAAGTAAAGTTATGGTGAGTACAAAAGATGTGTTTTCCCCCTAGGGATGAATTTGTGCTTTTGGGAATTGAGTGATTTTTGCTTATATTATTTTATATGTTTGGTTTTTCTTTTGGAGTATATTTTACCAAAGTAGCAAGATGATTAAGATCAGGTGATGTGTATTTAGCTATGGTAACTATTTTTCCTGTGGTTTTTGGAAATGTTTAGAATTGGAATATGCTTGTATATTTTGTCTTAGAAAGTTTTACTTATTTTTTTTAGAGTTCTACCTGTGTTTATGATTTTATGATTCTGATGAAATTGGATGTTTTTACCTCAGTGTCTTAGGATGGCAGGGAGAGACTCCTAATAGGTTGGTTTATGTTGGCAGTGATTCTTATTAATGTATCTTACTTGGATTTTAGTGTCATTGAGCACATAGTATAATGAAAACAGCCTTTGATGTGCAGTCACGAGGTCTAGGTCTTTGTCTTTGTTAGATGGTACTAATTGGCTGTGTGACTTTGGACAAGTCATGTAATTTCTTTGAGGTTCAGATATTAAATTGATAAATTGAAGTGATTGGTATACATTATTTTTTAAGGTTCTTTCTATTGCTGTCTTTTAGAGATTTTTTTTAAGATTATGTATTTTAGAGAGTTTTTTTTAAGATTATTTATTTTAGAGAAGGAGTACATTAGTGGAAGAAGGGGCAGAGGGAGAGGGAGAGAAAGAAACCTAAGCAGACACTGCGCTGACTGCAGAGTCCGGTGCTGAGCTTGATCCCAGGACCTTGGAATCATGACCTGAGGCCTGGGTAATTGAGACGTATTTGTGAATACCTTGTCTTCATGACTAAACAGTCTGTATTTAGAGAACAGGGCAGAAAATATTATCTTTAACATTATTAAGTACCATAGTATTCAGAATAGTGAATGTGTATAATACTTGTTTTGCTTTTAAAAGTTGAGTTAGTCTTTTTTTTCCTCTTTGAATTTATGTGACATCCATGGACAAAAAGCCATCAGTCTTTTGGGGGTAATTTCAAACATCAGCAAGTATTTCTTTAGTGCTTATTATGTGCCAAGAACAGTGTTAGGTTCATTGATGACTAGAAAATAAGGATAAGATCTTAACAGTTTTACTAATATATGAGGAAAGAATCAGTCCTTAAGTTGTGCATGCTGATTGTGTTTTAGGAATTCATAAGCAGGAGAGAGAAGTAGGCGTAGAGTAATTAGAGAGAACTCCATGCATGTTTCTGGACTTAAACTGGGCTTTTAAGAATCCTTAATTTTGATGGCTGGGATTTGATAAGGGAGATGAGACAACAAAGAAGCTCTAAGATTGTGAAAATAATACTCAATCCAAAGGCCTAGAGAAAGAACCAAACTGTGTGGGTAGGGAGCGGAGAAAAGGCAAGCAAGAGATGAAGTTGATTGTTGTTGGAACAAAGAGTGTATATTGGAAAGCTTGAAAAATCAAATTGAAAGAGGATATTGGAAGTCCAGTTAGAAGAGTAGAAGTTGTTTAAACAGGAAAGTGACTTGAGGAAAGCAGAGTTTAAAAAAAACAAATTTGATACTAGTATAGGTAGGCTGGATTAGGCCAATGGTTCTCAAGTTAGAAAGTCTATAAAAATGCAAGTTTTGTCTCTCCTAGGGTCTAGGATAGGGCCAAGATATCTGCATATTTATCAATCACCATAGGAGATCAGGTAGGCTTCTTCAGGTAGGCTGAAGAGCATACTTTGAGGAATACTAGATTAGGATGAAGAGAGATTTGTTTCCAGGGCTACCTAGGAGACTTTTGTGTGAATCAGGGAGGACCTGTACTAAACTGGGGCTAGATGTGGGAGGGTGGGGTTAAATAGGGTTTTGGCCTATAAGGGAATCTTGAGCTTATTTTAATGTGAGCTGAAGCTAGCCTGGTCTCTGCATGGCTTTTGCCAGAGCTGGTGAAATAGTACGATTTCTCCATATTCTGAAGTTCTCTTACCATTTCTCTTAGATAACTCTCAACTCTGTCCCCTAATTACTCATACTGTTGCTTCTTTAGTTTAGACTCATCATTAAACACATCTGTAATTGCCGTAGCCCCCTAAGTAGTCTCCTGGTATCCACTCTCTCACCCTGGCCATGCATGTTTGACACTGTTAAACAGATCATGCTGATTTCCCTGCTTAAAACTTTCAAATAGCTTTCTATTGCCCTTTGCAATCTTATCCCTGCTCCTTTTTCTAATTTCATCTCCATCTCAATTCTCACATGTGCCCTGCCCTCTGTTTGTACAGGAACACTTGACAATTCCTTAACATCCTACTCTTTTAATATCTCTATCTAAATCAATCACATTCTCTTTCTTGGAGCTAGAATGCCCTTTTCTTCTTTAAGGTGCCTAGAAAGCTCCTAAATATCTATCAGGATTAAGTATCATGTCAATCTTAGGAGAATTTGTCTTAGATAACTCCTTCCTTTCCATAGCACCACCATATAGCCTTAGTATAATATTGAACATATTTTAATAATAAATCATTTACATGTCTTTCTTCCCCAGTAGCTCATTTACATAAAATACTAGGTCTAATGTAAGGGAGAGGTAAATATTGGCCGTATAGGTACAAGTGGCAGACTAACGGGCTATATATGGTTCATGGAAAAGTTTCATCTTGTCTGAGAGTGTTTTTGAAAGACAATGTAATTAGATGGATATTATGATTGATCTTCAATATAAACTGTTTTACACCAATGTTTTATCTATGACCTGTTTCTCACATTGGAATTTGCATCACATATCCTGCAATAAAGGGAGGAAACTATGGTTATCAGGTTCTAGAGGAAATGATGAGGGATTAGTTCTAGAGTTTAGGTGGGAGGGGTGCCTTAAGGGGGAAGATTTTTCTTTGTTGTTTTTTGAGACTAGAGTGAGGAGTGAGAAAACAGTCATTAAAATCACTCTGGTGGAAAGTCAGGTACAAAAGGGCTTATTTTTCATGGTCTCATTAGTCTTCAAAAGATGAGAAGTGTGTGTTCATTGATAAAAATGGCAGATAAGAATTTCATAAAAGTGTTCCAGAGAGAATACATTGTAGAAATAACCACTTTAATTATTATGGTTGCCTAGATATTATATATGTTGGTCAAAAATAAGTCATATAAAAACCAGGTTGAAATTAGAAAAATGGAATACGTAATAAACTAAGTCTGCATGACCCTATCTTTTCTTTTGCCTCTCTAATGTTGATTAGAAGTAGAAATGGGGGCATTTGAAGCCCTCCCAGTCTTTAACTACTGTCAGCCTTACTTTTCATTATTTTCCTTTATAAATTTGCTTTAAAAATCAGACTGGAAAACTGCCTGTTGTTACCTGAACATAACCACCCCCTCAAGTCTCATGCAGTCTTTCTTCTGACTTTGTTCATTCTAGGATCTCTTTTTGGCATAGAACTTTTTTTTTTTGGTCAACATTCTGCCCATTCTCTATAGCCCTCCCTGAAGCCTGTCCTGATTGCCATCCCTGAGTCATCCCCCTCAATTTCTACCTAGTAGTTTATATGAGCTTCTAAATAAAGTGCTTATGTAGCACTTTATTTTTAACTTTCTTAAAGAATCACGCTCTGCTTTATCTTATACTTTCTATTATGTGTTTGTTAAGGGCTTCTGTTATAATACTCCTAGATTATTTTAGTTTACAGTAATGTATATCCTTGAATAATACTGTCACCCTGTGGGTCTGTCTTTTTATGTCCACAGTATAGAGCTTATGAAGGCATGTAAATTTCCATAGACGTCATGGGTTTAGAGATAGATATACCTGGGTTCAGATTCCTACTCTGCTATATGCTATATAGCTGTGTGTCCTTAGATGATTACTTAATCTCTCTGATTCCCAGTCTCCCCATCTAAACAAGAGGATAAAAATACTAAATTCAGGGAGATTTTGAAGTTTATGTTTATATTTAATGCATTTAATGCGCAAAGAAGCTTGCAAGTAGTAGGCCTAAATTACATTTTTTGCTAAATGTATTCAGTTCTATTAAATACTTGGTATGAAGAACATAAAAACATGAAGATTACATGGTAAAATGAGATAAAACTATGAGCAGCCTTTTTTGTTTTGGTAAGTATTCAAGATGTGTGCTATTTGATAGGATTTATTCTGGATCAAGAATGTTGAGAAAGATTCAGTTAGATGGAAAAAGGAGAATGCTTTGCTGTTTATTGGAAGCTATGTGCTATGTAGTATAGATTATTATTGGGCTTTTAGAAAAAAATAAACTCATATGTGGTCTCAATATATTATATTGACAAGATATAGAAATGGCTAAAATGATTGATGTGATTTCATTATAAGCCAGGAATAATTTACCCACAGGTGGAAAAATCACTATTCTGTGGGAAAAAAAGTAAGAATGACATGATTATGTATGATAATTGGAAAACAGAATTATAATGACCAGAGCTTATAATGTTAAATAGAAGTAAATTAAGTAACATAAATAGTTGAGTGCTTAGGGCAATAGTAGGGTGTTTATGCAACAGTGTCTGTTTAGGGATGAGAAAGACCTGAATTTGAACCCATGATTCACCACTCATTCATTCCCTGTGATCTTGTTAACCTCTGTAACCACAGTTTCATTTTTTTCTTTTTAACGAAAAGTTACTGGACTCCTATTACATGCCAGGTGCTTGAATGATGAACCATACAGATATATTCCTCATGGAGCTTACATTCTAACTGGGGAAACAGACAATGACACATCAAATTTAATGGCAAGTGGTGGTTAAGTGCTGTGAAAAAAAAAAAGTAAAATGAGAAAGCTGAGAGTGATCAGGGATGTGCCATTTTAGATAGTTGAGCTCTCTGTGCAGTGACAGATGAGCAGAGACATTAATGAAATTGGGGAGAGCTATGTAAATATTTAGGGAAGAACTTTACAGGCAGAGAGAACATCGAGTGTAATGGCTTAGAGGCCAGAGAGTGCATTCAGTATGTGAAGAATAGTAAAGAGGCTAGTGTGGTTGGAGTGGGG